GTAGGGTAGGGGTAGGGTAGGGGTAGGGTAGGGGTAAGGTAGGGGTAGGGTAGGGGTAGGGTAGGGTAGGGATAGGGATGTAATTTACAGAATTATACCTGGACGAAGTCAGGGCGGGCCGCTAGTGTAGTATATAGCTTCGTTGATAATAATGGAAGTACATATATATAGCTAGCTAACAAGTGCCACTGTCGAGCAAGAGCTCTTTAAATTTTTAGGGTTTAATTTTTAAAATTGCCTCGCTGGTCGTGTGTGGTCAAGGGGTCTCGGGTTCGATTTCTTAAAAAAATCTCAATGGTAGCACGGAGTCTGGAATCGTGCCCGGTATATGGCAATAGGGTCACCCCCTATTACATGGGACTCATAACATAAATAGTGAAAAGTAGGTGTTACATTGTACAGTAGCATTAAGTGCCATAGTGTGCACCTCTGCAAGCGGTAGGCCTTCAAGGTTAAAAAGGCGTAATATTATGATGCTATAGATTTTTTTTTAAATTTAAGTATTAATACAGACATTTACAAATAGCATTAGTTTTGGACCGTAATAGGCCAATAAACCGTACTTCCCTATCTTCGCCAGAAAGAGAGCAAAAGCAAAATATCAGAGAATCAAAGGCCCTTATCTAAAAAAACACATTGAATAACAAAAACGTAAAATCCGAAAATCTCATCCCAACAACAACACATATTTTTCGGAACGACCATTTTAAAAATTGCTTTTAAACAACAAGGCAAAAAGCGAGTGATCCGATTAATTCACAACTAAAATTCCCCGCGGCACGTTTATGACTTTATTCTGGAAAATAATCCTATCTAGCTTTCAGTGTTACATTAGTTACATTTAACGCTTCGGTGATTATTACTGTGTTAAGTGAATTTACTAGGATATACGTTGCTTCGTTATTTTATGTTTTGGGTTGTTACATTTTCATTACTAAGATTTTAAATTCTTGTTTTATGCTCTTGTCTTATATGGAAGTTTTTTGACATTAATTTTTGAAGATTTTCGGCTTCCGAAAATATCATGTAAGGCATTGTAATTTTGAAGAGCAGATGAGAGTCTTTGGTCGTCCGTAAAATGTCTTAAATGTATTGTATGATTTTCAAATGGACCGACTTTGTGATTAGCTTACTACCCAACAGTGGATCACTTACTATATTGCTGAATGTGTTTCAATGTGTAAAGTAATGAATTTTAGGTCACCGAGACCTACATATCTTACCAAAACTATCCAAAAAGTCCTTTTTTAAACCTAATCTACTGTTACATTGTTACAGGTTGTTCATGTATCCGCTACACGTCGACGTATGGCAAGGAGCGCGGCACGTTCAGCAGCCCCGACTACCCGCGCCCTTACCCGCCTCACATCGACTGTCTCCTCTACACCTTCGTCGCGGCGCCCCACGAGATTGTCGAGCTCGTCTTCACCGACTTCGACATTTTCAAGGACCATCTTGAGTAAGTATTTAGATTTAAGTCTAATAGAATCTATGTCAAAGTCTGAATTTGAATAAATATTTGTTTTGTGAACTCTGAAGTTACTTGAAAATTTTATTCAAGTATAAACAATGCTTCAAATTTTTTTAGGTAGTTTATTTATTATTTTTCACCAATACTTTTATATAAATAACCCGTTGAGTTATAATATTTTATTATAAAATATTTCAATAAGATTACTTTATTTTTAACCAGATTTGCAGTTTTAAATTTTAGCATATCTACACTTGTAAACATTACTAATCACTAAAGGACTTCAAACCAGAGTCGCTAAAACATCTCATTTCTCATATTATTTAAATGAAATAACTCGAGAAATTTCCATATTAACAAAGATTAAGATAATATTTACGACAACCAACAATAGTTAAGTTTGTCCCAAGACCCTAATATTGATGTATGACAAATTTAAATAAATCCTTCAAGTTTGCTAGTTACTCAAGTCTACAAAGTTTAATTCTACAATCAAAATTTCTCGCTTTAACGTAATCCTATAAGAAATAAGTCCAAAAGTGTAACATTGTCTTTAGCGAAGTTGTAGCTATGATTGTACATTAATTATTTTATAATGAGAAGTCACATTATTTCTTTGAAAGTAATAAAAAAATATCAAATAACAAAAGTTAGATATGATCTTAATATTATAATAATTCCATAATAGTCAATTTGGTAAAGCGAATTAAACACACCTAATTTTTGACTTTGTGTGGCGTCACAAATTTTTATCTCGAGAAAAAATCACAATAAATACAGACAAAACAATTTATTACAAAACCTTTATTGATTCGCAAACATAATTATGATTTTCTTCGTCCTTACTTAACTTCAATTTTAGTTGGTTTCCTCAGTCCTGCAAGTTTTCTGCAGAATTTTACGTAGTCAATCATAGTTGAGCCGTCATCTTGTACGATCAATGGAGCTTCATCAAGAGCATAATCAGCTTCCTTCGCGGTGAACTTGTCTCCAAAGGTCATCAGGTCATGTCTAATCCTGGAATCAAATTCTTAAATTAATTTCTCCAACTTTTTGTTACGAAGCTAGATGGTCAGAATTTTGTACCGTCTCTGAATACATAAATGCTGATTGAATTGCTCTACCAAATTTTCCGTTGTTTTGGTAGTTATTTAAGCAATGCAAGATTTGAGACTCATTTTTACAAATTAATTTGGTCATTCCGAAAAATAAAACCTATTCATGATACACCCCTATTGTTAACGAGCCAATTTCATAAAACCTAAACAGATTTGACGACAAATAAATATTTGGGACAAACAAAACTGTCCTAAAATACGGCAAAAATGTACACAAATTAGATAAAACAATAAATATTTTTCCTTTATAAACAATGTCGTGTTTATCATCCCAAATTGATAAAAGGGGAAAGTTCTACTCGTTTGTTTTTCTCGCGCTCTGCTTATCCAATTGGCGCTGCCATTTATATTCGTCCTTGTGTTTTTGATATAATCACATTGAACGTGATGACGAAAATATTTGTTTGTTTTAAATAAAATGATTTCTTAGTTGTTTAGTGTCCTTCAATTCGTTATAATTGGAATACGTTTTGGTCAAGAGTTCATATTGATAGTACTAGCTACCTATGTCAATCCATGTTTTCTATACACAATTTTTAATGAGATAGGTCTATAACTTTTAGTATGAATTTAAACAAACGTTACAAGGAAAAGGAGCATATTTTATCCTTATTTAATCAAGAAAGTATTTTAAAGTCTTACTTATATGTATAATTATTCAATCCAACCAATTATAAACGAGACACGCTCTTTACAAATTGTTTCTTAATGTTTATTTCTGTATCAATTTTAAATACCTTTACAAGAAACATAGAAGGTACAATTTAACTGAAACTTTTACTCCTAAGAATGCGTAAGACCATAGCAACCAAGTAAAATATGACTCTGTTTAAACGTGGCTGAGCAATAAACCGTTTTTCCAACTCTCGAAGGTCGCGCGAACGAAGTCGTAGAAACAGCTTGTATGTAATAAATTTTATTTTAGCGTCTCACATTATCTCTTGGAGTTGGGAATAAAAGAAAAGCTTAGTGTATCGGAAATTTACTACCATAAGGAACGCAGGAATCTGAGACATGAAGACAAGAAGTGTATTTGAAAATAAACCGTGTAATATTTTTAAACATTTATCTTTGGTTTTTAAATGATTGAAGGGATGAAAGGCATTTTTAGTAATATTTGAGTGTAAGTGTGGGATAACCATAATTCGGAACGAATGGGCCGGCTTAATCGGAGTGATACCACAGCCTCCGGAGGCCCAATTACTCTCCTTCCAATCCCTGAATCCCCAATAGTCCTCAAATTCCATTAAAAATTTACACGAGGTTCTGGGGTAATCCACAGAAGGCCGGTAACGCACTTGTAACACCTTTAGTGTTTCGGGTGTCCATGGGTGGCGCCGATTACTTACCAGCAGGTGATCCATCTGCTCGTTTACTAGTAACTTCGTAAATCCCATAAAAATATTTTGCGTGGATGGATTATAATTAATGATACCAATTGGCTTATCTTATTGATATCTTGAAAACTAATATTTTCTTCGCATATTATTTGTCTCTTTATACTTAGATTTATTTTTTCATCGGTCTTTTTAGTGGGTTCATTTAATATTAAAAACATTCTTTGTCTCTTTATACTTAGGTATATTTATTTTTTCAAACGTCTATATGGTGGGTTTATTTTAATATTTAAAATATTCTTTACGCGAAATTGCTTTGAAATTATGTTCATACTTAATTTAGAAAGTTTGAATTAAGTATAAAACGTGCCGTTTAAAGTTTTTTAGTTGAACAATTAGGTATATAAAGTTGGACATCTGCATTTAGTGTAATTATGCCAAAACATTTCAAATAAAAATTAAACTTTTATAGTTTTAGTTCACAATTGGGTTTTACAAACTTTGTAGGTACTTGAGTAGGTATAGGTAAGTACATGTTTAATATTTTTTAATCTTAATAAGTTTTTTTTTGCTCATTGCAAAACTTGAGAGTGTCTAGACTAGACTAGTATTACATGCCATCACGCCTTTTATCCCCGAAGGTGTGGGCAGAGATGCACACAGAAGTAACACCCACTTTTCACTAATTATGTTATGAGTCCTATGTAATAAGGGGTGAGCCTATTGCCATATACCGGGCACAATTCCAGACTCCGTGCTATTACTGAGATTTTTTTTAAAAACCCAGTAATACTTTGCCCGACCTGGGAATCGAACCGGAGACCCCTTGCCTGGTAGTCGCACTTGCGACCACTCGGCCAACGAGGTAGACACTAGTATACTATTTTTAAAAATGCATGTTTTAATAAAAGAACAAGAGAACTTTCATCAGGTCAGTGAGTTCAAAATAACAAATCAAATAAGCCGTAAAGCGGCAAAAATATAAGTCACAAATCCCAAACATTAGTGTTAGCATTATCCCCGAATATTAAACCTGCAATAACTTAGGCCCTTTCGGTAACAAATGCCCTGTTATAGACGAATACAAAATGTAAGGCTACATAATTCAACTTTACCGTCTACTATACGACGTACGAATGTATTCTTATACGCTTTCTCGTCAAAATTTGCTAAGGGAATTATACAAAAGCGTATCCGAGGGTTGTCGTAAAACGCAGATTGTTCAGAGAATTTTAATAAACCTTCATGGTGTTGCCTTAAATACATTTATACTTTTGCATAAAGCAGAGTATGAAATTATTTATCTTTTACATTTTGTACAACGTTTTAAAGTTATACATAACCAGTTTATTAAGGTCTCTCAAGTCAAGGGCTTTATATGATATTTCGAAGGTCAATTTTTACTGGTTTTGCATAGCTTGATGTGTCGCTGTATGTACGGTCATCAGCCTACGAATATTATATTCAAAGGCAAAGTTACAAGGAATTTTATTGTAAGTACAGAAATAAATCTGTTCACTTCGGATGTTTAGTAATCACGTTTGATGCTTTGACGTTTATCTTGGAAAATGTATGTTTATTTGCCTCTCGCTGTTTTGTGTAGTTTTGTAGAATATGGATATTTTGCGAGCTTTGGTAATTAACTGAATCACTACTGAGCTGATGATAGGGATAGGTTTTAAGTTATTTGCTCTCACTCAACTACTTAGCTGATGTATATGCGTAGGTTAAATATTAATCACTCTCTAGTTTTTCTGTATATTAGGCAAAAACTAATGAAATCAGAAAACCGACGTGAAACAACGCTTGCGTTGTGTTTCGTCGTGTGAATGAGATTACCGGAGGCCCATTTACCCCTCTGTCCCTCCCCAAGCTCCAACAATCCTCAAATTCTTAATCCCCAAAAGACCGGTAACGCAATTGCAACACCTCTGGTGTTTCGGGTGTCCATTCGCGAAGCCGATTGCATACTATCAGCTGATCCGTCTGATCGTTTACCAGCTTATTGCATAAAAAAAATAATAACCAAAAAGGTACAATAGGTACAAATATAAAAAAAAACATAAATAAAATTACATTAAAAACACAATTCCATTCTTAAATCTCATTAAAACATTACCCAAGTTACCGTAGTAATCTGAAACAAACGTCATTTTGTTACCAAAAGTGCCCAAGGACCGTTTTAAATCATACTGAGACAGATCCCAAGAATACATCATCCGAATCTCCGTAAATGTAATTTAAATCTTGATTTGAAATATTTACTGGTCCCTTGAGTAATATAAAATTTAAACGCTACCTTTTTATGGCTATTAAGATATAATTGTATAATTCACTTGGGTTTAATTAAAATTATTCCAATGATACGGGTGTTGCATCATTTGGGATTTTCGCTTAAAAGCTGTTTTTGTGTAACCTTTGTATGTTGGTGTATCGATGTCGAGGTGGCTCGAAACCTAGCAACGGCAAGTACCAATGTGACTTTTTCTGATAACTATGTACTTTCTAAGATTATTTACACACCACTGACAAAAGGTGAAGGAAAACATCGTGAGGAAACCTGGGTTAGAAACTTCTAATTATAAGTTTGAAATCGCCAACCCATATTGAGTAAGCGTGGTGAACAATGCTTAAACCTTCTCCATATGAGAAGAGGCGTTTGCTCAGCCGTGGGCACTTATAGGCTAATGATATACGATGCTGTATTGATGTTTTTAGGTTTATAGATATTTATAGGTCGTCGTGCAATGTACCTATGTAGAATTTATTTCTTCGGTGGCAGTCTTTACTCTCATTCATATTTAAAAATATTTACAATCGAAAAATAATATTTCTGTCTTTATAGAGGTACGCATATTTACGTATTTTTGGCAGAATGAAAATTACGAACCAAATATGGCTATTTCAGAATACGAATAGGACTGAACAAACATAAGACTGAAATTTTAGTTTGGTTACAATTTTCAAAAACCTTGGTTTCGAGCCAAACAACTAACAGTTAAAGTGTAAAATAGGATTTTTTAATAAAATATCTCACTATTAATATAAATATAGCTTTAGTAACAAAACGTCGTTAGATACATCAAACTAATAAAATCCGGAATACAATAAGTTCGTAGCTGTTGTAAAAATAATAAAAGAACAAGGTGTATTGTAAAAACATTGAAAATTTGTTCGTAGTATTTTTGGTAACGAAAAATCTGAATGTAGCTATCTAAACTTTATTTCGCACCATGTAACAAAGACTAGGTATTATTTGCCTCTGTGAAACTAATAAAACCCTTCAGCATACAAGGTAAAAAATATTCGCACCCGGGACGCACTTTGCCTGCATGCACAAACGATGCTATACGGGCATACAGTGAAAATCAATAATATAACATCACGCCTTTTTTTTTAATCCCCGAAGGGGTAGGCAGAGGTGCACATTTCGGCACTTAATGCCACTGTACAATGTAACACCCACTTTTCACTATTTATGTTATAAGTCCCATGTAATAAGGGGTGAGCCTATTGCCATATACTGGGCACATTTCCAGACTCCGTGCTACTATTGAGATTTTTTTAAAAACCCAATAATACTTTACCTGACCCGGGAATCGAACCCGAGACCCCTTGCCCGGCAGTCGCACTTGCGACCACTTGGCCAACGAGGCGGTCAAAATCAATATGTTTTAAATATTATTCTAGATAATAAACATGTTAAAAAAGTTTGTCTTAAAATTAATAATCCTATATAGGGTTATTAATTAATATCATAATAATGAGTTTATTATTAATATTAAAGAGAATATTATTTTTATACAGTTCTGATCTGACCGGCGGGTTTTACCGTGAGAATATCTAACCTCCAGCTATTGCTACAATCAAGTCATTAGATCGCGTTTTAACATGCAAATAAGTCGACTTAAAAGTGTTGGGGCTAAAATAACCCCACATTGATCGAAGGTATGTACACAAAGCACCGCTAATTAGTTCGAGGCGCTACACATCGACATTACTATCATTTACACAGTGAACATGTGTGGGTAATTTCATATTAATAGATATGTATAGAAACATTCGTTCTATCACACACATCTTGGTATTACATATCATTTTTGTGTCGGTATACGTAATATTTTAGTAAATAAGTTTAAATAAAAACGAGGGTAAAGATAAAAATACTCATAACAAACTTTGAATAAATCGAAATCAAAAATAATGAACGATCGAGCAATACAATACTTATATAAATATAGTGCATTCTCATTGTATTTTTATGTTACTGAATGATATACAATATTTCGATGTTCTCATCTACGGCGCGCTTGGCGCAATGGTTATCGCCTCCAGTGGTCAAGTAAAGTGCCACCGGATCGATTCCAGCATTCACATGTTGTTTTAGTATTAATTAATCAAATATTTGAAATGTGAAATTAGAAACAATTAAATCTTTTCTTTTTTTCCTATCCTATTTTTCTAAATCTTATGTTAATTTTAATAGTAAATACTTTAGATTTATTTATACCTATAATATCCTTTATTTATATTTTAGTTCTAGTTATTTATTATTTAGAATAATTTAGAATGATTGGAAGAACTTTAAAGTTAACATGTGGTATATAATTAATTATTAGATATAAATATTGAATATAAAACCACATATTTGTATAATTAATAAATTAATTTTAATAAAAAATAGTATTGTTTTATTTACCGACTGATTTGCTTCTTTTATAGCCTGATATTTATATTATATGACAAAAAACAAAAAAAAAAAAAAATAAGAAAAACAACAAGGTAAAATAAAAAAAAACTTTTAGCTGGAATAGAACCCACATCATCATTGATCCTTGAAAGACGATAAAAGCGTACTCATTAACCAATCGACCACGAGCACTACGATAATTACAGTGAAAATGTCGGGTCATATCAATGATTGTAAATAGTTTTAACCTTACCCATGCATTAAATTATAAAAATACGTATACCGACACAAGAATGAAAATACCAATGTGAACGTGGTGGACGAATATTTTTATACACAGTAATATGAAATTACCCACACATGTACATTGTGTAAATGACAGTAGTGTCGATGTGAGCGTTACGAACTAATTAGCGGTGCTTTGTGTACATACAATTTTATACCTTATTGTTATGTAAACAAACATGCCTACAATAGTACAAATTTGTTAAATATTAATGTCATCAAACTGACTATACTCTCTTCGTTGGCATTACCATACAACGTGACAATACTTTCAGTTTCCTGGACAGCTATTGAAAATCACTTCATTAGCTAAAAAGTTAATTTTAGTATGTATTCAATAACAGAATTTAGATCAAGTCTTACCGTCAGCCTTAGAGTCATTTAATGGTACTTAACCCAGTCTTTAGCAATTGTATTCAGAAGAAAATCGTTACTAAGGAATAGTTTCACTTATTAATCCCTAACTATAAAAACCCACAACATTTGTTCATTTAAAAGTAGTCCCTAAACATCGGAAATAAGGTCTATAATAGTATAGTAAGTGGAGAGCAGTCACCAGTGACCGCTTGGAGATTGGGCATTGTAATCAATAAATGTTTCTGAATGCCGCAGTTAGTGTTTTAGAGTAGTTTTGTACTCAAATTAGTAGTATCAATATCAATTCTAATTCTATGAAGTTCACTATGCTATGATTATACTATACTATATTATCTTCGTATATGTATATGTAAAGTTTGAAGGCAAACTTTATTAGCGTCCTCAATACACTGTGGATTACACAAGTTAGCCCATTCTCAAAGTTAGCTAACTTTAGATATATGATGTACTATGTTTATTGAAGGATAGTTTCATATTTACGATCTAAGATGCGAATTTGTGGCTATCAGTATAGGTACACTGCTATATAAATGCATAAAAATTCATTATTAGGTCTTTCGACTTACTCATGTAATTATTATCGAGGAACTCCACTAGTTTCAAGCCATGCTAGAGGCTCGTATTCATGAGCACCGCTGCGCGACTGTCGCGCTGCTACTCTAGACTAGTCGAGATCCTCGTCAAATAATTACGCGAGTAAGCCAAAAACGATAATTAATTTAGTAAGTCTAAGGAAATTTATAATATACTAAAATCATTTGTATTTGAGAATAGTGGAAATTATAATGAACATAGCTACAATACTAACATTTGCTTACGTAAATTAACATTCAATAAAATTAATGGCGACTACATTATTCCGACTGCTGATAAAACTGTATTTTTTTTTTGAGCACGAATCCTAATTTTTTTTTGCCTCACAGCTTTTCACGTAGATATAGACTTTTTCGGTTTTAAGTTAAAAGTGAATTTTTTAAACATTACTATAAACTTATAAAATTAATAACAAAATGTTTATTTGTCTGAAAAAATATACATACTTATCTTCCGAGATCAGTCCACTATTGTTCTTGTCCCAGCGAGACAGTGCTGATAAAAGAGTTTCTTCCGAATCCAGCTCCAGAGTGCGATATCCAAGAAGGTTGACAAAACCATCAAAATCTAGTGGGTTAGGTGCCTGTAAAGACAGAAAAAATGTAAATAATATTTTAAATTTTATTCCTTAGGAATCTACACCTTGAAATGAGCAAATAACTTCAATTCAATTTAATTTTAGTTGACGTTCAAAAATGCCATCCTTGTCTAATTGAAATAAATGATTTTGACTTTGACTGTGACATTAAAATACTGTACATTAGATACGCGATCTACAAAGAGTAAGGCATAGCTAATTCTGTTTTCAGTTTTATTTGATTTTAGCAAAGCCTTCGACAGAGTCAATAATGACATTCTGCTTTTAAAGCTCAGCACTTTAGGTTTCTGTCCGAACCTCCTGAGTCTTCTTGTAGACTACCTCCGGGATCGCCAACAGTTTGTTCGGCTAGGAACTTATGACTCGAGCCCTTACGACACACGCTCAGGCGTGAGTCAGGGGTCGATTCTTGGACCTTTACTTTTTCTGTTGATGATAAACGACCTACCATCAGTTCCCGAATACACAAAATGTCTTCTATACGCAGATGACCTCAAACTATATGCCAGTGTTAAAACTGTGCAGGACTTTGAAGCCAAACAAAAGGATGTTGACGCCGTCTACGAATGGATGTAGCAAATAAAATTAATTTCAATGTATCCAAATGTTGTGTGATGACTTTTGGTCGAATGCGGCATCCAATCTACTACCAGTATAGACTGAATAGTACAGTTTTGTCCAGATCAGCAACAACGACGAAAGATTTGCGAGTCACTTTTGACCAGAAACTTACATTTCATGACCACATTGTCGTCGTCGTCAAGGATTCTTTCAAGAGACTTGGTTTCGTTCTTAGAAACTCAAAAGATTTCCGTAAAGACCATGTCATTAGGCTATTATACAATACGCTTATTCGGAGCAAGCTCGAAGCCAGCTCTTGCGTGTGGAATCCTCATGAGGCCACTTATGCTCTTTTGTTAGAAAAGGTACAAAAAGCGTTCCTACGATTTTTGTATAAACGTCTGTTTGGTTACTACCCGTATCTGTATCCAACCAATTTACTGACTGGATGTCTTGGATACAACACTCTGGAGACCAGACGGAAGTTTGACCAAGTAGGCATAATGCTTAAAGTGTGTCGTGGATTAATTGATGCTCCAGATCTTCACAATGAGTTGATACGACTATACGTGCCTGATAACTATCTTCGCAATAGGAACCATCGGCTCTTAGCAGTGCCTACTTCCCGCACTAATGCACATGCGAAATCTCCAATTCCACGTGTTCTTGCTGCGTTTAACAACTTCATGAAGGTCTACCCGGATTGTGACTTGTTTAATGATAAGTATAAGGCTGTAATGTCTGTTTGTCTGGTGTATTGTGAGCAGAACCACATATAAAAATGTTATTTTATCTTGGTTTCCAGATTCTGTGTACGTATATTGTTATTATTACTGTTATTTCATTTTAATTCTAAGTTGTATTGTATTTTGTTTGGTGTATTTTTTTTTGTGTCCAACTTTATATGTTTTGTAATTTTACTATATTTTCTCATTTACTTTTAACACCTTTTTGTATTATGTACTTTGATTTAGTTTTCTTTTTTTATATCTTTTGTAATTTAATTTGATTAATGTAATTGGTGTCTACCGTGTTAATCAATAAACAATATGATTAGGACCTAAGCCCCACCTACGGGTAGGATTCAAAATCTCAATTTTGAAAACCAAATAATACTTTACTTGACTTGTAAATCGAATTTTTTGATACTAGTCGGATCGACGTTCAAAAGCGCCTTCCAGGTCTAATAAATGATTTTGGCTTTGACTTTGACTTTGATCCAGCGAAATATGCAGTGGGTAGGCATTTAAAAAACCACATAGAAAAATGCTTTACTGAAAAGCAGCTTTTTACTCGTCAATAAAAGAGAGTTTTTCGTTAAATTTATTTTAAATGCTCGTCCTCTTTTTAATCCGGTTGGAAAGCGGAACGGTCGAGGAGGTACTAATTAGTACAGTGATAGGTACTGATTAAATGCGGTTTACGTTCATTACCTTGAATGTTAGGATTGAATTTTATTAATTGTGTAGTAAAACAGTATCTTTTATTTATTTACATAGATTAACTGTCTTTCGTCATATTTTACTTCAGATTGGATTGGCTTGATGGCCGAGTTATCGCAAGTGCGACTGCCCCGGCAAGGGGTCTCGGGTTCGATTCCCGGGTCAGGCAAAATATTTAAAAAATCAGTAGTAGCACGGAGTCTGGAATTGAGCCCGGTATATGGCAATAGCCTCACCCCCTATAACATGGGACACATAATATAAGTAGTGAAAAGTGGGTGTTACATTGTACAATGGTATTAAATACCGTAATGTGCACCTATGCCTACCCCTTCGGGGATAAAAGGCGTAATGTTGGGTTATATTATGTTATGTTATTGGACTGACGATATCATATGTATAATTCCCACTTCATCCTAATGTAAAAATAGAATACCATCTTAGTATTTAACATCAAACAATAATGAAACAAAATAGAAAAATAATCCCATAATATTCAAAGATCAAAATTTAAACAGATTACAGCGTTAAGTCAAGATTAACGCAAAAAATTAATTTGAAACAATTGCCGAAGAAAAATAGGGAAACCAAATCTTTGGGATACAGGAAAAATGTACGGTAATGCGGAAAAATGTACCGAACAGCGACCTAGACAAGAGAATTTAAATTTGATCCATGAGAGCAGAGAGGGCAAATCCCTGTGACCTCGTCAGCGCTGTGGATTGACACGAGCTTAAGGGCCTCTTTCGACAGAACCACGAAACTTTACTAACAATACTTAAATAGAATTAAAAGAAAAGCAAAGTTTCGTAGCTGTTTTAAGAGCCTCCTAATAAATGGGCTGTTTTATTATGATTGGTTCAGTTGTATCGTTTAAGTTTCTAGTAATTGTTCTTTGAATGTAATTAAGAAGTACGTGTGGTTCTGTTTATTGTTCATTGAGTCTGTTGAAAGGTCACGGGGCATCTTTTACTAGGATTATCGGGATGGATTTGAAAATCAGAATCCAAGAATCTGAATTGTAAACGCAACAAAATTGCAATATTTTTTATTTTGATAATAACTATCGTGAGACATTATACTGAGAAAAGCTCTACTAGTTTCAGTGAGCTGCGTGACGTGACTTTGACTGCCAATAAAAAACTGTTGAAGGTATATCCTCTGCTAACGCCGGTCACCGGTGACCCCCATGGCGTTTAACGTGTTAACTAAAATCACGGGTTACTCACGTGAATATACTGAGAAAAGCTATACTAGTTTCAGTGAGCGGCGCGACGTCGCCGCGACTGTGCACGCTGCTCATGAGGAAGAATCCCTCTGAGGTTCGAAACTAGTAGAGCTTTTTCATTATTCACGTGAGTAACCCACGATTATAGTTAATTAAGATTGCAATAATTACGCCTAATGATTCAAAAAACAAACAACGCTGTATTTTTAAATTTAATGATAATACAACTAACTTGGAAATATTCCACGAATGTAACACACAAACGCACTTTGTATAAACTATACGTAACCTCACTGTACTTCGTCCAACAGCCAACTTCCAACACAAAGTTTGGCCACCTGCCGTTTGTACTTAGCTACGTCTACACACAAGTCCCACCAACATTTGCCTACTGACACAGATGCCAGTTGGCTAATTGTCTATGCGCTTACAATTTATGGTTCCTTTGTGCATATATCAAGTGTTGGATAGTTGTAACCACAGATGTTGGTTCTCCATAATGCGTCTATATGCTGCAATGTTATCTCGCAGATATAAAGGATAGAAGGTTCAATAGAAGGCGAGGCACGACTAAACTATCAAATTCTCTTTCATTACATAATGCGGTACTCAATTTTGAAAACTATAATATTACGCATAGCGAATCATATTTAAACATGTAAGAAGGATAGATAAGTAGTATGATTTTACATCTCCTTGACCGAATGGTCAAGACCTGAAGAATTTCAGGACTGTATCCAAACTATGAAACTAAAATTTCGTTTAGCAGATCCAATGATGACTCAATCACTGTCCTAGTGAAAATCGACTCAATAAAATCCGAATTCCAAAAAACCTAATAAAGTAATTCAGTTTGGAATTCACACACAAGATCAAACAGTTACTTGTGAACATGAAACCAGTTGAGTTCGTCCAATACATATTTTAGACTAGCTGTTGCCCGCGACTTCGTCCACGTAGAATATGAGTTTAGGACATCACTTTTTAACCCAAATAAAAATAGCCTATGATACTCCTTAGTACATCAACTACCTGCCAGTAAAAGTTCCGTCAAAATTGGTCCAATCATTTCAGAGACTAGCCAGTACAAAAACATAGACCAACAAAAATTCTAAAAAATACATTATGTTTTGGTATATTCATATGCATATAGTAAAAAAACGGTTATTTCAATATTAAAAACAGACACTCCAATTTCATTTATCTGTATAATATTCTCACAAGTATATTACTGCAGTAACAGCTAAGGATAGGTAAATTTCACTACACCGAAATTACTACACGTTATATTACTATATACTGTATGATTGTATACCTAGTCTGCACATTCACTAATGAAACCCGTATGATATAGCTTTAAATGTTCCTAATGTCTTAAGTGTAGTGCATCTAAATTGTAGTGGTGCCATATACTAGTAGTTACAATATTATATTATTATTGGTACAATTGTGTTAGTCAAGCTGAGGCGGAGTAGCTATTAAGTTATAGCGTAACTTGATGTAACCCGCGACTTGGGTGCATTTAATCGGAATAAAACGTATTCTATCACCCAAGACAGTCCATACCCTGTCTTTATACCAAATTTTATCAAAATCCGTTCGGTAGTTTCAGCGTGATTGACGGACAAACATCAAAAAAAAGAAAGTTTCACATTTATAATATTAGTGTGATTATGCTGTAAGTTAATGGTGACAGTGAATTAAAATAAAATAACTGGTTAATTTGTCTGTTTGATAGTAAAAATATTAAAGTGTGGGAGAGCCATGCTTCGGCACGAATGGGCCGGCTCGACCGGAGTGATACCACGGCCTCACAGAAAACCGACGTGAAACAACCGGAGGCCCAATTACCCTCCTCCCTAGTCTCCCGAATCCCCGAATCCTCCACAATTCTTAAATTCCCAATTCGCAAAAAGGCCGGTAACGCACATGTAATGCCTTGATGTTTCGGGTGTCCATGGGCGGCACCGATTGCTTACCATGAGGTAATCCGTCTGCTCGTTTACCGGCTTATGCTATAAAAATATTAAGGAATTGTTTTGTTGTGTCGAAATAAAAAAATAATAATATTTAAGACCGAGAGCCATTACGTCACCGTTCAGCATGCATTCAAATCAAATGTAATGCAAGTAACGTCATACGATATTCCAAATCAGCATTACCTTCTCACTTGTTCATTCCTTTAAACATTTCCAATAGTTAATTATTATGTTTTCTTATTTATATGAGCCTCTATAGTAACTTGAAAGTAGTCGAGTTCCTCGTCAAACAGTTACATATAAATATAAATTTCTAATAGTTTTCATTAATCTAACAGAAATAAATTCAAAATTAAAGATTTTAAACTGTCAAACACCAAGCGGTCACCGGTGACCGCAACCTATTGTTCTATAATTGTGTCTATAATGACGGTACTCGACGAGTTAATTATCATCCATAGTACCTACACCTCTACCTACCCAGGAATTAAGCGTGATACTTCGTAATGAGAAATACCTACATTACGCGGCAAAAAGATTCGAGATAACGTGAAAATAACACCTCCAAAAATAACACTGAATAACCTTGAGAATATTCATATTTTCCTGTTCCATATTTTTGAAGATATTATCTCCTTCATGTTTTTTAATTTTCATAAAATATTTCTCTAATTGCTATACAGACATATTATTGCTGACGTATCTACGTACAGTGATCTCACTATTAATATGGATAGTGTAGGTAGTTTCGAACAAGTGATTCTGGACTCTATTGAACAGAATTAAAACTTAGATTACACTTCTCTAAATCCAATACACAGTAATACTAGACAAATAATATGTAACTAAGGGATTATTTTGTAAACCTGAATGAATTTCTCGCTCGCCCTTCTCTAAAAGATTTAATTTTTTGTTGACGTATAAATTATCATCTTAAATAAATGATTTCGATTTTGACTTTGACTTTGACTATGAATGAAACTTAATCTTTTATTGCCTGTTATTTCTTTTATTGAAATAGACATATTGTAAAACAAAGCATTTCAAGCACATCTGACCTTTTTGAAAGTGTGTCTATTGAGAACCTCTTCTTCTTAATAAAATACGTATTCGCTTTATTTACGAGAGAATTCATAACAGATTAAAGTCATTATAGGTACGTACCTATAATGACTTTAATCTGTTATGAATCTCTCTACTTTGTATAATTACCTCAGTAAGCATGCTACGTATAGCGTTCTCATCGATCTTGTCTCCAAGACTGACCAAGGTGGCTCGAAGATCACTGAAGTCGATACAACCATCGCCATCCATGTCAAATAGTAAGAACGCCTGGAAAATAAAAGAGTTAGACTAAATATTGATATGATTAAAGTGGTTCTAAAAACAATACGTACAATATATCATTTATTAAAATATATATATATATAACTGGGAAATGAGTGGTTCAAAATTCAGACAAATGGTCATGTATATCTATTTCAATTATTATAAATTCATTCAGTACTTAGAAATAGATTCGCTTTCAATTGCGAAGAAAACTATTAATATAACTGGGAACTGGAAATAGACATTTTCCCAAATATAGAGGTACATACCTGTAATATTATTAGAAATTCGTTTTGATATTCATTAATTGATCAAAAAAACCACATATCAATTCACAGTACAATACAAAACCTTTAAGTGTGGGAGAGCCATGCATCAATACGAAAGGGCCGGCTGGACTTGAGTGATACTACGGCCTCACAGAAAATCTACGTGAAAAAACAGTCGCTTTGTGTTTCTTCGTGTGAGTGAGGTTACCGGAAGGCCCAATTACCCATAATCTCTTCAATCCCTGAATCTCCAACAATCCTTAGATTCCTAATCCCCAAAAAGCCGGTAACGCACTTGTAACGTCTCTGGTGTACCAGGTGTTGATGGGCGACGCCGATAGCTTACCATCAGGTGATCCGTCTGCTCGATTACCGGCTTATTCCATAAAAACAACCTATACTTTACAGCAAATAAAATTCCATAGCTACCTCTTTCAGTTCGAAAATTTTATTATCATCGAGCTCAGCTATAACATTCGCCGGTAGACAGAGCGCTTCCCTGGCTTTAGAAGCTGAACGGGATCTCGGTTGCTGTGGGACAGTTAGGTCGTTCCCACTCTCCGATATAATAGAACTGGAAAACAAAATGTTATTACAAAATAAACTTTCGTCCCACTTCCAGTTTTGTCACGAACTGATATTTGAAATAACATGTTTTTGTTCGAAAGGAGTGTTATGAAACTTTTTATATTGAAATAATACATAAAATATAACATAACATCTCGTCTTTTATCCCCGAAGTGTTAAGTGCACATTACGGCACTTACTGCCACTGTACAATATAACACCCACTTTTCACTATTTATATTATGAGTCCCATGTAATATGGGGTGAGCCTATTACCAAATTTGCACCCTGTACGAAGTTTCGATCGTTCATTGTTTTCCTGTCACTAAATTTACGAAGTTCGTTAGAGAGAGATATCATCCTATGTACCCTAACAATCGATGCAATAAATGTATAGGATGCTTTTTTTTAGACTTTTACACATTTTAGTTCGATTACCGTGTGCGGTAAGCGAATTATAAAAATCTTCGAATGCAGATTTTTTTATTTTCTAAAATAAAGGAATGTTTTGTTTGAGTAAAATTGTCTATCTTTAGTATTAAGAGTATTTGCCCTTTAGGTGGCATTACAAAATTCCACCCTGTATACAGGTCAAACTAAACTTTCTTCTATTTTTAAAGTAGGTTAAAAAAATAGAATACAATAGGTTCTTTTTGTTAAAAAATATTCAGAGGAAACAATAAGTACATTAAAATGTTAAAAAATGTCCATCTCTGAGATTTAATATTCAACCTAGCACCCTTCAATCACGGTCCAATAAAGACATTTTACAGCGATGAAATAGCTTTTGTTAAGGCACGGAAATTAAGAATTAAAGAAGAATTTTTTTGATGGATGGACAAATAATTTTGAAATACATATTTACTTATTGTATTTTATTAAATGAATGTTTAATGTTTTTCAAAGACAGATATAATTTGTAGCGTAATACCTACCTAATATTTGAATATCACAAATTATTTTTAAAATAAGTACTTATTTTGAATTTGAATATGAAGCATATACAGTCATAATGTATTTCAAAACCTTCATACAAATTTGATTAGACGCAATTATCAAATTATTGAAATTAATTGAAATAATTTGCCGCACATACGTTTTAAATAGAGCCAATTTACTGTCATTAGCCATTCACAAATGCCAATTCGTTATTAGATGAAAATTTATCAATAGTAACATTTTAGGTAGTAATGTTATAGATCAAAGAGAACTATTATCGGCAAAAATATTATTACGAGACTCCATTGATCGAATAAATTAAAGATAGAATATGTTATTAAATTAAAGTAAACTAATTAAACATACCTTGATAGAATAAATATGCAATACTCACTCTCCATTAGTCAAAGATTGCAGAAGATTTTCTTTAAATTTCTTTATGTCGTCTTTAGCATCGTCCGGCTTGCTACGGCGACGCTCCCCTTTTGATCCCCTCTGGAAACACAATACACTTTGTAAAGCCACAGTTTAATGGGAGGAACACTTTCATCCTATTATACCATATTAAAACTTGGCCCCTGTTTCACAATAAAAAGAATTTCAAACAAAAAAATGCCCTCAAAAACTTTGGTTCTATTTCAAGTAAACCGATTACAATCACCAATAAAATATTAATTTTGAGCTTGAAGTGACCGGAAAAGATAACATTGGTGACTTCCCTAACTCTCCAGTCACAAAGAGAAGAGAAATTACTTGTCCAAACTTTGTTCACAGTTTAATTTACAAAGGCTTCAAATCTTGTGTTCACAGTATTTATATTACGTTTAGAATAAATGTATTATATTTTAGCGGCTTAGAAAGAGATTACTTTTAAATTGCTTACTCTCTTGGCGCTGCCGTTCGTATCTTGTTCTGCCATGTTATTAAAAGTCTTCCAAACCGCGAATTTTTCTGTGCCGGGAGTGTTCTATACGTGTTTCCGCCGTGCCGACTAAAGCAAGAATTGTAACTACACGTCAGGAATATTAAATTTACATTGCATTTTCCGTCAGCCGAGTTAATTATTTATTTCGGACGGATGCACGCAGATCTCGAGATTAGTCGTGACGTTGGCCTCAACTAATTAATCTTTGGGGCAAAACTGCTTTAAGATTTCCAGGTCAACGAGTCGTTGCAACGTTTACGTATTTGTAGCTGTTCCGAACTGAGGAGGGTAGCTCGCTTAGTATTGTTTGTGTTTATTTTGGCAATATGTATGCTTAATGTTCCGAATTTAGCGGCCATTAGTGTGAGGCTTGCAATCCAGCGAATATACATTTATCCGATTTACCGCAGAAATTTGCTGTTTGATTTCTCTATGGATTCGCTTGCCTTAATTTTCATTATTAGTAGCAATATCGTAATAAGCAAATACGGTATCTTACCCGGCATTAATATTAAATTTTGTGGCGTCTCCTGTTAATCTAATCTCATCTAATCTTGTATGGATACACATGTTGGCAGGAGATCAAAAATGAATAACGACAGTTAATTCCAGTGATATGACTAGGGTAGTCAAATAAATAATATTTTACGACCCAGAAGGAGCGGTAATGATTTCAAAAATAAGTGTTGTTGTGTCAACATTTACACCTGGTACATAATAAACCGGGAGATTTGAAAATTTACGGTAAATAAACTTGCGAAATGTACTTTAAGCGTAAAGTAACGCGTCAGAAGTATTAGAAGTGTCATATATTTTGCTATATTACGTAAATAAAATATATTTTATACCTAGCTGAATTTATTTTATAAAAACCTAAATTCTAATTTATTATGACGTATGGCTTTGCTTCCTAAGAATCTTAGTGTACAAAGTCATTACACCGTCTACTTTTAACATCCTATGATCAGCTAAATAAACGCGATCATGCAAATACGACAGCGTCTCAAGTAAATCAACTGCGGCGAGGTAATCCGCACCCCGAACAGGTGTAAGTGGGTTTTTAATCAACTACAAATGCAACGGTTTAGGAGAGTCTAAATGAGATTCGTGTAGGGCTGTCTCGACTCGGATTTTTAGTTACATGTCATAATTTTGCGAATTTTTAATCTGGGAATAGAGTAGAGGTAAGCTGTTTTATGTCGATGCCGGATATATTAATTAAAAAACCGACTTGAATCTTTTTTTTTTTTTTGAAGGTCATACACCATACACCTGACCAGACGATCTCATACAGGTCAAAAAGAGAAACTCCTTTTTTTTAAATCGGTTGAAAATGAATAAAGATGTATCATTACCAACATCAGTAGTCTGTGACAGTTAATTGCTGGATTGTATATATATTAGAGGTTGTCACAAACTCCTTGCTTGGCAGGCGGGTTGGAGATTATAGTTTAAAAAATTAAGCTGCCATTTTTTACCAAATCTGAAGTCTCTGAATGACGGCCGAAATTAATCATCATCGTCATCAACATCTCAGCCACACGACGTTACGGCGCGTTGCGTACCAAGGAAAAATAAGACCACTACAGATGGCCTAATAGGGCTGATGCTGATACAGAGCCGCGGATGGCTTATCGGATTGCCGGGGCTTCGGCTCAAAATGCTGTAGTAGAAACAGAGTGGGTTTTAGTCAGTAAGTGTCTGACACTTTCTCTCGCCACACCCGGGCAGGAGAAGTCATTAGATGATTTTCACCCCTCAAAAAAAAAAAAGCCACATGACGTCCATTGCTGAACATAGGCCTCACCCAATCCTGAAAATAATAACCGATTTTAATCGTGATATGGATGATATTATTATCGATTAAAAATAATAATATACGTTATGGATACGATTTCAGTTAACAGAAACTCCATATAACTATTGTCAAAAATCGAACCATAAGCACAGATTTCGAATTGAGGTAGGTCATTAATTTAATTTAATTTATACTACTCTTTACTTTCACCATTTTTAGTTCAACTTAGACTGAAATAATTAGTTCTAAGTTTGTCAACCTAAATGATTTAAGACACGTAGATCATAAATCGTGTTGAAAACCAAAATAATGATTACTCATGTACCTTAGTCATGGAGTACATTTTATATAATGTTTCTGAAAGCAAAGATTTTAATTAACAACGCACATGCGAACAAAGCGAAATGTCTGATATGACTGATGAATCGGTTTTAATATGTAAAGGAAGATTTCAAAGTATTCCATACGCTTTTAAAATTTGTACTCTGTGTGCAAAAGTTAATTGACCGTTTTTTGCTGTATAAATAGTGATATTCTTCATTGTATTATAAATATTGTTTGATTAACAAAAATGAAACTTGATACATTGGAATTTGAGTTAATTTACCTAGAATTATTATTTGCCGATATTAAATGAGCTTCATGTTTTCACAAAAATGTGCTGCGGTTTTGCTTTGCATTTACAAAATGCCAACCATAAGTATAATATTTATCGTTTCAATATTAAATGACAAAGATAACCCATTTAATATTAACTATGAAAAATAAAGGATGATGTCATAACTAGGGTACAGATGATGATACATGCTAAGTGTGGGATAGCCATACTTCGGCACTAATGGAGTGATACCACAGCGTCACAGAAAACCGACCTGAAAAAACGCTTGCGTTGTATTTCGTCATATGCGTGAGCTTACCGGAAGCCTAATTACTCCCTGCCAACTCCCCAATCTCCAGAATTTCTGAATCCCCAACCATCCTCAAATTTATATACTCCAAAAGGCCAGTAACGCTTTTATAACGACTCTGGTGTTTCGGATGGCCTTGGGTGGCGCTAATTGCTTACTATCAGGTGTATACATCCGTCTGCTCGTTTACCGGCTTATCCAAGAAAAAACATGATATTTTTTGCGCATCCAGTATAATAATGCGTTCAGGGCACTGTTGCGGCTTCCACGTTTCTGTAGTTCGTCAGCAATGTTTGCTGATGCTCGTCGTCGATGCATCGCTCGTCAGTCGCCTGCGTGGAAGTCGCCACAGTATTCTGACTGTCATAGCCGATAGACATGACTGCCCATTGATGTGGAAATTAGTGCAACGGACTAAGTCCCTGTTTACTATTTCTTATTAATATTGTACCTAAATAGTTATATAGTTAGTTATGTATGATTGTGTTCTTCCCTTACTATTAATTTGATGGATCTCAGTTACCTGAATAAATAAATATTATTATATTTCAAAGAACACTAAATATTTTAAAGTTCATAATTCATGACGTCACGTTCCACAAATGTTTCTCATCATTTAATGACTATCTTTGCTTTACATAACGTGCCAGCCCTAAGCACGAAAGTGATCCAGAACGAAGGAAGGCAAGGAATTGGGATTGCACTTAAGTTTCTTTGGCATTCGAACACCGCAATTTATTTTTATAAGAACGATTGAGGGTTTTCGATGTTTGCTTTCTTTAAGTATCAAGACGTTGGGTAATTTATATTTACTTGGCTCGCGAGATTAATTTTTCAGTTTTTTTCTCTTTGATTACGATTATAATATATAATTAAAGATTTATTAACATTAAATAGGTCGTAGATAACTTTAATTATATTATGTTGAAAAGGTTCTTCATAGGCAATTTGAGAAAATTTCAAAGGAACTGGATGGTTCCATTCGTAGCGTTTATTTAAGTTATCGTGTATATTAAGTATCTTCAATGACAACAGAGCTTGTATTTATACACTGCAATACCAAAGGTATCAAACGTACGTTGAGACTTTCTTAGTAAAATATAATAATACAGGGTGACTTGTAACATATAGGTGGAACTGCCTCATTGACTGAGTAGTCGCAAATGCGACTACCGGGCAAGGACTCTTGGGTTTGTTTCCCGGGTCGGGCAAGGCATTGCTGGGTTTTTTTTTATTCTTAGTAGTAGAACGGAGTCTAGAATTGTGCCCGGTATCACAAGGCTCACGCCCTATTACATGGGATTTATGACACAAATAAAAGTGGCATTAAGTGCCGTAATTTGCACCTCGGCCCATCCCTTCGGAGAAAAAAAGGGCGTGATGTTGATGAGTATATATATATTTATATATCTCGATAAATTTATGCATTAATAATATTATCTTACCTAGTAAGTATCTCTGAATATCATGTTACTTATTGATGCTATCGAGAGATGAGGCTTAATTGCATACCTACGAAGGATATTATTATTGTTAATTAGGTTTTATGTTACGCTATAATATTGTTAGTTATAACTCCTGGAACGACTTTCACAGTTAATTCTATTAATATGTAAAGGTAGCAAAAATATATATCCTCGAAGTTTGCGTAGAATTACATTTAATAATAATGTTTGCATCCTCTATATTTAATACCTTTATACGAGCAATTATTGTATAATTTAATATCAATGATCTCGGAAACGGCTCTATCGATTTTCTAAAATTTTTGTATTCAGAGAGTTTCGGGGGCGATATATCGATCTGGATAGGTTTCAATTTAAAACGGTGTCGTTTCGTCCGTATTTTTATTGAATAAAAGTCCTTATTAGAATATGACGCTTATGATGTTTAATGTTTAATTATGATAGTCAGGAGATCGGGTGCCTTCCACGGCAGGGCACTCGGGTATCGGGAGAACACATGTTTTCTATTTTATGTTTTCTTCTAATTTCTTTTCTATATTTTTTTCTAATAAAATATATATATATGTATGTCCTAAAAACAACACCGAAGCAAGCTCGGTCTTCCAATTTCCTTTAATTTTAAAATCTGGTGATCTGTTTTTCTTTACGTTCACGTGAAGATTTATTTTCATAAGAAATCAAATCAAATGAAAAAAAAATAATCTTTTGAAAAGAGTTACTTTGAAAAGGCTGCCCTTGATACCTGAAAAACAATATTAAATTATCAAAATCCCGAACGTTAATTACTAGCTAATTATTTTGACTTGGTTTCAGGGATGAGACATAAGCTTCTACCAATTTCCTCTAACAATTTTAATGAATAAATTCGCAACCTTTTCCTTTTCACCCCAATCAAATTCTCCCGTTGTTC